TGGACTCACACACACATTGACGTAAACACACATGTACTTACACACACACAGCGACTGATATGCACACAAATGGACTGACACGCACACTTGGACTGACACACACACATAAACACTTTAGACGTACACACACACATGAGGCGTTGTCCATTCCAAAAAGACAGACACATATGGAGTTAAAGACATGCATGGCTCTACACGCACACACATATGACTCAAAGACACACATCGACGGGCACAGCAATTCCCGATGATGGCACAGCTATCAGTATGGCAGTACTACGTATGATGAAATAGCGTAACGTGAGCGATGGAATCAATAGAAATGTAGAAATAATCAGAAATCACAGACTGGCAGTAGACCATTGTAGCGTCATAAAAACGCAGCAAAAAAGGGAAAAATTAGCAACGTAAAAATCCAAAAAGACTTTTGTGCACACAAACATAATGATTGTAACATCTGTCAACTTGTTTCATAATGGTAAACAATGAACCTGAGTTGTTATCTGCACACAATATCTTGCAAGGTATTTGTTTCATAATAGTAAGCAATGAAGCTGAGTTTTGATCTGCACACAAACATAATTATTGTAATGTTTGTCAACTAATGTGTTTAACAATAGTAAACAATGGACTTGAGTTAGCATAAGAAGCAAGGAACGTTGTACTTATCATAGCCACGTTGAGGCCTTGTGGCATGCGTGGCCCCCCGTCCTGGCTTACATTGGCGAGGCGGCGGACATGACACTGTGAAGAAATATCGGCAGCATGATGTGTGTATGTGTTGCCTGTAAAACGCGTAAAAGGAAATGTCCCCGTTAGGTGGAGCGAAGGCGCATCACTTGGCAGGGTCCGCCCCCTTCCACGCAATTGGCGGCAGGTGGTACGGTCCATGTCGAGCAATAAGCAAATAATGAATAATTGAAACGGCACAAATGTGTTAATTAAACTGCTTTAAAGTTTACGGATGGGAAAACAGAATAGCCTATTCCCACCGCGGGGCTTAGGGCGTGCCGCCTGGCCAATTTTTTTCTACGTGAAGGCCACCGTCCGAGAGCCAAATCCCCCGCAAGCGCGAGCGCGCGGAGACTTTTTTTTATATATAAGATAAAAGTCTCCGCGCGCTTGCGGGGGATTTGGCTCTCGGACGGTGGCCTTCACGTAGAAAAAGATTTGCCAGGCGACACGCCCTAAGCCCCGCGTTGGGAATAGGCTATTCCGTTTTCTCATCCGTAAACTTTAAAGTAGTTTAATTAACACATTTGTGCCGTTTCTATTATTAATTATTTAATTCTAGATTTGAAGCTTTCGTGACTGCAAGGATTCATATTCTTAGGTTTTTTCGGTAAAGTCACGTAGGTAAAAAAATGTAAATTAATAAAAGTAAAATAAAATAAAAATAAAAAATCACAACGTTTCGGAGGCAACACAAGCTTCCGTCTTCAGGTTGGAACCGTCACAGCCACGACAGCTGTATCAAGTAAATGAGAGATTACAAGAGATGCCACTCCGTATATATAATGGTTGAAGAGGGGAAGGGCCAAGTACGGCACACTTTTTATTAATATGGTAAGGTGAGGCTTATGACTAAGAATAGACTGCATATCAAAAGACTGAGCCTTTGTTATGGAGAGGTGCGGTTTGTGACTACGCCTAGCCTACATAACAAAAGTGTGAAAAAAGAAAAAACTAAACCTGGTAAAACAAAACTGGCTGTCTATCAATAACCTGTAATAGTTGTCTGTCAAATAAGATGGTCCAAATAAGTGTAGTTAAATCTTTTTTGCATGGTTAATCACATCTTTCCAATGATTACTCGGTTTGTAACCATCATCACGGTTGAAATTATGTCTGTATTTTTATTTTATTTTACTTTTATTAATTTTTTACCTACGTGACTTTACCGAAAAAACCTAAGAATATTAATTATGTACTTATTGCTCGACGTCGACCGTACCAACTGACACAATTGCGTGGGGGGGGGCGGACCCTGCCAAGTGATGCGCGTTCGCTCGACCTCATGGGGGACATTTCCTTTTATGCGTTTTACAGGCAATACACACATGACTGCGGATATTTCTTCACAGTGTGATGTCCTCATCGCCCCCCCCCCCCCCCCCCCCCCCAACACGATGCGTCCAGTTTATACTACAGACTCCGTAGATTATAATATTTAACTGCTTAATTAGCATTATTCTTGCACGGGCGAGGGATGCTGGCGGGGGGTAGCAGCCCAGCCCCTAGCCTGGCAACGTGACAACTCTGCCACCTCGCCCAGGATGGGGGCTACGCATGGCACAAGGCCTCAACATGCCTATGGTAAGTACAAATTTGCTTGCTTCTTAGGCTAACAACTCAAGTACATTGTTTACTATTGTTAAACATTAGTTGACAAACATTACAATAATAATGTTTGTGTGCAGATCAAAACTCAACTTCATTGCTTACTATTATAAAACAAATACGTCGCCAGATATTACAATAATTATCTTTGTGTGCACATAACAACTCTGGTTCATTGTTTACGATTATTAAAGTAATCAGTTGGCAAATCTTACTATAATAATGTTTGTGTGCAGATTATTCATCACGTTCATTGCTTACTATTATGAAACAAATATTACAATAATAATGTTTCTGTGCAGAAAACTAATATTTCATTATTAGCTTCCTCAATTCTTGTTTACCTGTGTTTTTATTACGCTGCGACGGTGTACTGCCAGTCTGCGATATGGCCTGCTGCCTGCTGATTCATTAATGTCATTGCACTGCCACTCTATTATCTACACTTAATTTTGCTTTTGCCCATTATGATTGTATGCCAGTCTATAATCTGTTGCCTGCTTCTTTACCTCACTAAGTATCCTGCGAGCCTTTCATGTCACTGTATCCTGCTTTTTTAGCTGCTGCCCGTATTGCAAGCTTTTTATGTCGGCTGTGGAAATGCTTATATCATTGAGTCGGCGAACTGCCAGTCTATAATCTAGACTGTAGCCTGCTTCTCTACTTACCTGTGCATACTGCTGCTCTTTAATTTACACTCATTTCAACGTATTTCTTCTATGCATTTCTATTTCGATTGCTCACGTCACGCTATTTACTCGTACGTTGTACTGTGATGCTGATAGCTGTGCCATCATCGGGGATTGCTGTGCACGTCCATGTGTGTGTGCGAGTCGATGTGTGCGTGTTTGAGTCGATATGTGTGTGCGTGTAGGTCCATGTGTGTGTCTGTCTTTTTCTAACGGACAACGCCCAATGTATGTGTCTGTACGTCTAAGTGTTTGTGTGTCAGTCCAAGTGTGCGTGTCAGTCCATTTGTGTGCGTATCAGTTGCTGTGTGTGTGTTAGTCCATGTGTGCGTGTTCGTCGACATGTGTGCATGCCTCCATCTGAGTGTGTAAGTCAATGTGCGTTTGTGTGTCTATGCGTGTCAGTCCATGTGTGTGTGTAAGTCCATACATGTGTGCGTGTCACTCGATGTGTGTGTGTAACTCAATGCGTGCGTGTGAGTCGATATGTGTGTGTTCATCCATGTGTGTGTATCTAAAGTCGGTGTCTGTATGTGAGAGTCCGTATGTGTGTGTATGGCAATGTGTGTGTTAGTCTATGTATGTGTGTGTGCGTCTATGTGTGTGTGTGTGGGTGAGTCGATATGTGTCAGTCCATGTGCGTGTGTGTTAGTCGCTTTGTGTGCGTGCCTCCATGTGAGTCAGTGTGAGTCCATTTCTTTGCGTGTCTGTAGGTCCATGTGTGCGTGTGAGTCCATGTGTGTGCTTTCTTGACCTGCTCAAGGCCTATGATACCATCAGTAGGCCTGGCCTCTGGGTTGTTCTTCATGCTTTCGGAGTCCCTCAACCTTTGCTCACGATCCTTAAGGACCTTCATGATAGTCAGCGGGCACAGGTCAAACTACGTGCCCGGGAGTCAGAGCCATTCCCTGTTCACCTTGGGGTGCCACAGGAATGTCCTCTGGCTCCCACATTATTTCACATCTATTTTGACCACGTAGTTCGTGATGCCTGCAATGGCTGTACCGGAGGATTTACCATATGGTACAGATACATTGGAAGGCTGATCGATGCTGGGGTGCGGTCGAGGGATGGCTCCCTATTGCTCAACCATATTGTGTATGCCAATGCTCTGGTGATTGCTGCTCACTCAGAGGAGGAGTTGGAGGCACTGCTGCTGAACCTGGAGCTTGCCACTATGAGGTGCGGCCTTACCATCAGCCCCACCAAAACTAAGCACCTGCCTGGGTATTTTGTACCATCGGACAATCCACCCCCAGAACTCACAATTGCTGATGGGCCAGTTGTGGAGAGATTACAGAGTTCCCATACCTGCCCGGTTATTTGGGCCAGTTGTGGAGAGATTACAGAGTTCCCATACCTGCCCGGTTAAACAGCAGAGGTCTCACTCCGAATCAGTCGAGCGCCATTATCTTTTCATCCGCTGCGTAACGCTGTGTGGAAGCTACCTGGTCTCTTGCTCCGCATGAAGCTCCAGGTCTTCTCGGCCACGGTAATTCCCTCCCTTCTCTACGCTTGCGAAACTTGCACCCCCCTAATGGAACATCTTTGCCGGTTATAAACATTTAGGCTGGCCTGCTAACGATCCATCCTGGGTTTAACCATATGTGTGTGTGCGTCTAAGTCGATGTGTTTCTATGTGTGTGGGTCGATGTCTGTGTGTAAGTCCATGTGTGTGTCTGCCTTTTTTGCCCGAGCAACGCCGAGTACTTACCGCTAGTGGTTAATATACTCAGTCTCATTTGCAAGAGTGGGTGACCTGGGGGCATCAATTTGCCAGTGGGGGGCAACTATTGCTGCTGTATGTGTGCGATCCAATTACAAGTGATTCACAATGTCGTTTTTCAAAAGTTGACCAAGTTTCGATTAAATGGGATCAAATTAATGGGTCTGAATGAAGACATGGGTGAGATGGTGTACAGTTGTAGGGATTGAGTGATGGGTTGTGTTGTTGTTGCTGCTGTTTTACAGTTGCGAGGCTGTGGAACAGGACCCTCACATTCCCCTGCAGATCATGAAGCAAAAGGTTGAACCAGTGCATAGTGCTTACACAGCGGGGGAGTGAGCAGGCTGCAGCATGGACACTGTGCAGGGACAATTACTCGCCATAGCCTCTTATAAGCAAGTGGTGTGTCACTGCATCTTACAGGGATGTACGCAGAGAGCTACAGATTTGTAAAGATTCCCACAGACTCGCGCAGACACCCAGACTCGCACAGAGGCACAGTCCAACACGTGTCACTCTGTGTGTGATATCGCTTCTAGACGCAGCAGCTGCCATCATTTGTAGTCGTAACCTACAATGGGTTTTTGTCTCTTGGACACAATTGCCTCCAGGCAATAGCTGGCACAGAGAGAGTCAGAGAAGGTGCCTCCTTCCAAATTGTTACCAGCTCTTCCCCACTCGTCATTTGGCATTTTATTCTTAGAGTAGGATGGTGGATGTCAGGGGGGTGTTGAATTGTTTAATGGACTTGGGCTGGATGTGTCACGGCCGGAAGGGATGGCAGCACCAATGTTTTGGAACAACGTTTCCTCCCTTAACATCGTACATTCACATTTCCTCCCACATTTGCAAATGTGATTTGAAACGTTTATCCTCACTTGTGTATCGATCAATGTTAATGTGAGATACTGTGTGTTGTTGTCTTGGTGTGGTCTGAGACTGTGGTTGTTGTTTTTTTGCCTTGCCCAAGCTTGAATTTAGTGTTGAAAAACCAGTAGGAATTGATGTACTTATACCATTTGTACTTATATACTTGATTTATTTTTCTAATTTTTTTGTGACTTTCTTACCTCTTCTCTATGTTGCATTCCAAGTCTTTGTTTTGTATTATTTGTTATTGTAACTTGCTGACCACCCACCCTTATTGGACATCTGGAAAAGAGAGCTGCATAGCTCATCAGATTCCTCCTCCAGGATAAAAAAAGGTTATGATTCTGACTAGCAGAGCGCCAGGCAAAGGAAGGGAACGAGTGCCAGAGAGGAGGGACGTCCACACACGGGAAACGGAGCGATTAATTTGTGTTGTGCGCAGGAAACTGGAACCGAGTCGTTGCATGGTCAGACCCCAAGAGGTGGCAACTGCTTGGGGTGGATGGGGGGTGGCCATCATCCAGCAGTGGATAAAACATGGCTGATGAATGATGATGGCGGTGAATGGCAGTTGCGCAAGAGTTGAATGCCACAATGGGGCATCATTGCTCAACAGATTCCTCCTTCGCTCTAAATAAAAATTCTGATTTTAATTTGTCTTTTCTATACAGGTTGCGCGTAGTTCTGGCGGCAGCTCGCACGCTTGCAGAGACAGCCCCAGCACCTCCTGTGGCTCCACAGCTCGGGGGAAGAAGCGACGGATAACGACGAGGGTGGGGTTGCACGTGGAAATCATCGCCCCCTACTGGCAGACTAATGCACAGGGACTGCTGCTACTGGGCCGTGCCCCTAGGCTTGACCCCAAACTAGTTTACGTTATTAACATCAATTGAACCTTATGGCGGGACCCCGGTGTCCCATAAGCCCCCGGCTCTCACATAAACTGCGTTGTGACGTAATTTTATGTCTGTTGAAGGCGAACGATACGGCAATCTATTCCTCTCGACGAGATCTACACGATGCGCTAATCAAAGTTTAAAAGTTACGTTTCTTCTGCGCATTTGTCCTTGCTGCGCTTGGATGACATGACAACAGAATGATCCGCGCCAGGTGGTTCGCGGAGTTTATGTGCGCGGTGGGACTGAGTCGCCAAAAATAAATACACGATTTTGACTTCCGTTTATTCGGAACCCCGGGGTCCTGCCATAAGTTCAATTCATGATGCATTAATTATATTTATTTATGAATTTAGTATTTTTTCTTTTTAACATTACAGGGGTAATCCATCAACATTCATCAATTATGTTTTGTTTCGATTCAGTCAATTTTATTTCCATTTAAATGTTATCTAAATAGGAAGCATACAAAGATATATTAATAATTATAATAGATAAAATATAACCCTATGTGTCCTGACTTTTGGGCCCCCTGTATATATATTTTTTATTATAAATGGTTCCTGCAGAACGAAGAAGCGAGCGTTACGGTCATCATTTCTAGCAGCTCGGAAACAGAACAAGGAGGAGGAGAAGAGAGCGACACCTCTTCTGATCCCAAGCGCAGATCCCAGCAGAGCAAGGTTTTCGACTGCCTGCTACACACGAGCAAAGACAAATGTCCCCCGTAAAGCCTTTAACGGACTGTTCTGGCAAGCGCTGTAAGCGAGTAACAGCGCCTATGTAATGTTTACTACACACCGCACCATGTACTAATTTCATTACTGGTGTTTGTGGTGGCTGACATCAATTTTAGATTTGAAGCTTTCGTGACTGCAAGGATTCATATTCTTAGGTTTTTTGCGGTAAAGTCACGTAGGTAAAATATTTTAAATTAATAAAAGTAAAGTAAAATAAAAATCACGACGTTTCGGAGGCAACACAAGCTTCCGTCTTCAGGTGGAACCGTCACAGCCACGACAGCTGTATCAAGTAAATGAGAGATTACAAGAAATACCACTCCGTATATATAATGGTTGAGGGGGGAAGGGCCAGGAACGGCACACTTTTTATTAATATGGTAAGGTGAGGCTTAAGACTAAGAATAGACTGCATAACAAAAGACTGAGCCTTTGTTATGGAGAGGTGCGGTTTGTGACTACGCCTAGCCTACATAACAAAAGTATGAAAAAAGAAAAACAAAACTGGCTTTCTATCAATAACCTGTAATAGTTGTCTGTCAAATAAGATGGTCCAAATAAGTGTAGTTAAATCTTTTTTGCATGGTTAATCACATCTTTCCAATGATTACTCAGTTTGTAACCATCATCACGGTTGAAATTATGGCTTCGTGTACAAACCTTTGATGGTAGCCAGGAGGTTTGCAGAGCACCTTGGTCTCGGAAAAGACAATTTCATGAGAGCCTACAGAGTTGTAGCAATGATCGGCAACGGCCGAAGAATCAGTTCTGCCGTGTTTCAGATCTGACTTGTGCTCGCGGACACGATCAGAAACATGACGTTTCGTTTCTCCAATGTAGCAATCACCACAACTGCAACTCAGTTTGTAGACTCCAGGATACTGTAAGTCAGGAACGACATCCTTCACAGATGGAATCAGATCACGGATTTTATGCACTGTACTGAATCGGACTTGGATCTTATGTTTGTTTAGAATTTTGGAGATCTTTTTGGTCACGCCTGCTATGTATGGTAACGTGATAGTTTTGGTCGGAGTTTCATGTGGCTGTTTCTTTATGGTGGGAGAAACAGCTTGGCGGATGGTGCGGTCAGAGTATCCGTTCATCCTGAGGGCCCGATATACATGTCATAATTCACCGGCCAGGTGGTGTTGGTCAGAAATGCCATGGGCTCTGAAACCGGATTCCCACCACCACCCATCTCAAAATAATTCTCTCATCAAAACGCTATACCACAGAGCCCATGGCATTTTTGACCAACACCACCTGGCCGGTGAATTAAGACATGTATATCGGGCCCTCAGGATGAACGGATACTCTGACCGCACCATCCGCCAAGCTGTTTCTCCCACCATACAGAAACGGCCACATGAAACTCCGACCAAAACTATCACGTTACCATACATAGCAGGCGTGACCAAAAAGATCTCCAAAATTCTAAACAAACATAAGATCCAAGTCCGATTCAGTACAGTGCATAAAATCCGTGATCTGATTCCATCTGTGAAGGATGTCGTTCCTGACTTAGAGTATCCTGGAGTCTACAAACTGAGTTGCAGTTGTGGTGATTGCTACATTGGAGAAACGAAACGTCATGTTTCTGATCGTGTCCGCGAGCACAAGTCAGATCTGAAACATGGCAGAACTGATTCTTCGGCCGTTGCCGATCATTGCTACAACTCTGTGGGCTCTCATGAAATTGTCTTTTCTGAGACCAAGGTGCTCTGCAAACCTCCTGGCTACCATCAAAGGTTTGTACACGAAGCCATACAAATATACAAACACGGACATAATTTCAACCGTGATGATGGTTACAAACTGAGTAATCATTGGAAAGATGTGATTAACCATGCAAAAAAGATTTAACTACACTTATTTGGACCATCTTATTTGACAGACAATTATTACGGGTTACTGATAGACAGCCAGTTTTGTTTTACCAGTTTTAGTTTTTCTTTTTTCACACTTTTGTTATGTAGGCTAGGCGTAGTCACAAACCGCACCTCTCCATAACAAAGGCTCAGTCTTTTGTTATGCAGTCAATTCTTAGTCTTAAGCCTCACCTTACCATATTAATGAAAAGTGTGCCGTTCCTGGCCCTTCCCCCCTCAACCATTATATATACGGAGTGGTATCTCTTGTAATCTCTCATTTACTTGATACAGCTGTCGTGACTGTGACGGTTCCACTTGAAGACGGAAGCTTGTGTTGCCTCCGAAACGTCGTGATTTTTATTTTATTTTACTTTTAGTAATTGTAATTTTTTTTTACCTACGTGACTTTACCGAAAAAACCTAAGAAGGCTGACATCAAGTTTGTAGTGCAGCACACTAACCGTTGCACCACCGCTCTCACTGCACTTTAACACCTTCAGAGGTGCCCTAATTGATGACGTATCCTTCACAAGCAGTGGCTTGAGTCTGCAATTTCAGGGGCTCTTCCTTTACCTTTCCTCCACTTTCTCAGGAGCGTAACGAGACGACACGGACAGAGGCCGGCGTGTCGCGTGACGCCGATGTCGTGACTGGGATATCCGACCTCTTCAGGTGATGGTCATAATGGTGGTGGTGTTGATAGTGGTGGTGATGAATATCTGAACCTGTCTTGGGCCTCCCCTTGGTCGGCTCGGCCTCAAATGAATACCTGGTGCAGTGTGTAAACATTGCCACTGAGGAGGTCAAAGGCAGCCCGGCGTGGTTTTATCCACCCACCCCCTCATGTGCCGTGCCGGCCTCCATAGGTGCTACTCGCTAACAATTGCCTCAGCATTCTATTAAGGCTATACGGGGGATCTTTGTATTTGGTGGGCCCAACCTCGGTCAGCAGCTCCACTGGGCGCACCGTGACCGCAGAGATCTCCTGTTCGACTCCACCTCCCGACCCTCCAGAATCATCTGATGCGTGGTGGGCTAAAGTGGGAGGTAACTCCCACTTAAATGCTGGCGAATGGTACGAGAGGTTTATTTATTACTAGCGGGAAGTGCCCGGCGTTGCCCGGGGGAAAAATATATTTCAAAACTTCTTTTAAAAACATAACATATACATTTCTAAGCTATTATGAAAGATCAGCGTGCCGTTTGTCCATTTGTCCGTCAACAATATTATAAGAGGCTTGCAGAATTTCGATTTAAAGCTTTCGTGACTGCAGGGATTCATCTTCTTCATTCTTTCGGTAAAGTCACGTAGAAGGGAAATAATAAAAATTAAACATAAAATACAATTCTCACGGCGTTTCGGCCACAACGCAAGCAGCCGTCCTCAGGTGAAGAACAGGTGTGTCGGAAAGACAGCGTCTGAATGAACACCACCAAGCTTGGCAGCGTATATTTAAGCTGGGTTGGAGGGGGAAGGGCGCCTTGACAAAGGCATTTGCATATCAAGAGGAATGTAGCATATTTATGGGAAATGCAGATATGGGATTAGTCACTACTTGTGGAATGCGTAGGAGGTAGGGGGGGTTTCAAAGTCATATTATGCCCGTGCATTGTGCAGGAATAGCAGCATCAAAGGGAGGAATTAGGGTTAGCAGTAATAAAGGGAAGGAATTTTAATAATAAGGAGCTGCAGCAGCTAAACCACCATGTAAAAAACTAAAATATAAACTACATCAGTATCATCAATATACTAAATATACTCCCAATAAGCTGAGCTACTAACAGTAAGTCATACATTACATCTTCTTGGTTCTTTCGGTAAAGTCACGTAGAATGGAAATAATAAAATAATAAAAATGAAACATAAGATAATTCTCACGACGTTTCGGCCACAACACAAGCAGCCGTCCTCAGGTGAAGAACAGGTCTGTCAGAAAGACAGCGTCGAAATGAACACCACCAGGCTTGGCAGCGTATATTTAAGCTGGGTTGGAGGGGGAAGAGCGCCTTGACAAAGGAATTTGCATATCAAGAGGAATTTAGCATATTTATGGAAAATGCAGGTATGTGATTAGTACTACTTATGCCCGTGCATTTTGCAGGATTAGCAGCATCAAAGGGAGGGGATATGGGAAATGCAGGTATGTGATTAGTACTACTTATGCCCGTGCATTATGCAGGATTAGCAGCAAAGGGAGGGGATAGGGGTAGCATTAATAAAGGGAAGGAGTGTTAATAATATGTAGCTGCAGTACCTAAAACCACCACGTAAACAAAGTATAAACTACATAGTATCATCAGTATACTAAATACACTCTACAATAAAGCTGAGTTACTAACAGTAAGTAATACGTTACAATTCTACGTCGTAAAAAAAATATATGCTTCCATCTAAACTTTATTTTCTTACATCAAACGAGTCTACACCGTACTATATACTGCCATAGACAAACCCAATGTTAAATTATATACTGTATTGCTATAAACCACCCTAAACCTTATACATTGTATTATACAGTATGTATTATTCTACCCACCCTAATGTATATCACACTGCTGTATATTCACTATACAATTACGATACTATATATTACTTTGTACATTGTATTAAGCATATAATTTTTTAATACTATTTGTTATTATACACTGTACCATTGACCGTCGTATGAAAGATACTAAGAGGAAGCATCGAAATATGTCAATGGGAGAGAAGTGAGGGAAACTTGCAGCGGAGCAAAGAATCCATTCCCTGCAAAGAATACAATGCCAGTGAGTGGAACGCGGTCTGAAAGTCACCGTAAACAATCAGTTAAGATCTGAAATGGTTTATTACGTTCTTTCAATGATTGCTGAGCCAGAATCCATCTTCTCGGTTGAAATTGTCTCCGTGTTTGTATATGTCGATCGCCTCATGAACGAATTTTTCATGGGAGCCAGATGGCTTGCAGAGAACCTCTTTCTTGGAGAAGTCAATGTCATGTGAGCCCACTGAATTGTAACAGTGATCTGCCACGGCTGAGGTGTTTGTCCTACCGTGTTTCAGGTCTGCTTTATGTTCACGGATGCGGTCCGAGACATGTCGTTTGGTTTCTCCAATGTAACTGCTACCACAGAGGCAACTTAGTTTGTAGACGCCAGGGTACTGTATGTCTGGAACCACATCTTTTAAAGACGGGACCAGATCACGGATTTTATGTACTGTGTTGAATCGGACCTGGATCTTGTGTTTAATCAGGATTTTGGAGATCTTTTTTGTGACCCCAGCAATGTAGGGTAAGGTGATGGTTTTGAAAGGCTCCTCAACAGGATCCTTCTTGATGGTTGGAGTGATGGCTTTGCGGATTGTGTAGTCGGAGTAACCATTAGCCTTAAGAGCTTGGCGTACGTGCTTGAGTTCACTGGCAATGTGTTCCTGGTCAGAGATGCATTGGGCTCTATGGTGTAGAGTCTTGATGAGGGAATTCTTCTGGGATGGATGGTGGTGGGAATCCGGTTTTAGGTAAGCATCCGTATGGGTGGCTTTTCTGTAGACAGAGTGGCTCATTGAACCATCAGGTCTCCTTTTAATTAGGACATCCAAAAAGGGTAGCTTGCCATCTTTTTCGACTTCCATGGTGAATCTGATGGCTGGGTGTATGGAATTGATGTGGTCGAGGAATTGGTCTAGAGCAGGCCGGCCATGTGGCCAGATGACAAATGTGTCATCTACATACCTCTTCCATAAGGTCGAGCATAGAGTGGCAGTCTGGATGGCGTCAGTCTCAAATTTCTCCATGATAGGGGGGAGTGTCTCACCAGGGGGGGTACCTCAGTATTCAGTCCTTGATGAACCAAGTCTTCAATGATTGCGATGGTGTCACGTACAGGAACTTTGGTGAATAAGGAAACCACATCAAAACTGACAAGCAGGTCGTCTGGGGACAGGGAAATTCCCTTTATTGTCGATACCAGGTCAGTAGAGTTTAGTACCGCAGAGGTGGTTTTTCCAGTGAAAGGCCGCAGGATTTCAGACAAAAAACGAGCCAGTTTGTAGGTGGGGGAGTTGATAGTAGAGACAATGGGACGAAGGGGTGTATCTTCTTTATGTATCTTTGGCAAGCCATATAATCTTGGTGGCCTGGCTGCAGAAGGTTTCAACGAGAACTGTTTGGTTTGATCAATTAATGCGGTTGAATCAGGAATGATTCTGTTGGTTTTAATGACGAGGCTGTTGGTGGGGTCTCTTTTTATTTTTGTATCGCTGCCATCGTTGAGTGGTTCTGGCCTTACTGTTAGTAGCTCAGCTTATTGGAGAGTATTTTTAGTATATTGATGATACTGATGTAGTTTATATTTTAGTTTTTTACGTGGTGGTTTAGCTGCTGCAGCTCCTTACTATTAAAATTATTTCCCTTTATTACTGCTAACCCTACTTCCTCCCTTTGTTGCTGCTAATCTTACATAATGCACGGGCATAATATGATTTTGAAACCCCCCCCACCTCCTACACATTCCACAAGTAGTGAGTAATCCCATATCTGCATTTCCCATAAATATGCTGAATTTATCTTGATATGCAAATTGCTTTGTCAAGGCGCCCTTCCCCCTCCAACCCAGCTAAATATACGCTGCCAAGCGTGGTGGTGCTCATTCAGACGCTGTCTTTCCGACAGACCTGTTCTTCACCTGAGGACGTCTGCTTGAGTTGTGGCCGAAACGTCGTGAGAATTGTTTTTTATTACGTGTTATTTTTATTATTTCCCTTCTACGTGACTTTACCGAAAGAACCAAGAAGAGGCTTGCAGAAGTCCAAAAAGTTATAGAAAGTAGGGGGTAAATGGTTGATCTAAAAGGTTCCCGAAAATTGTTGACCCCCCACCCCTCAAAAAATATGTTTACCCCCGCGTAGGCTAAACACCCTACATTCACTAGAGTGAGTAGTATCCAGTGACTATAGTAGTATCTGACTCTACAGTAGTATCTTCTGACTATAGTAGTATCTATTTACTCTTTAGTAGTATCTACTGACTCTATAGTAGTATCTGCTGACTAGTTTTATCTACTGACTGTACAGTAGTATCTACTGAGCCCAGTAGTAGCTACTCACTGTTTAGTAATATCTACTGACTAGTAACTACTGACCGTAGTAGTAGCTACTGACACTACAGTAGTATCTACCGACTCTATAGTAGTAACTACTAACTCCATAGTAGTATCTGCTGACTCGATAGTAGTGTAGAGAAGCTCCCACGGACGCACTCGGAGACGGAGGTAAGTTATGGGCTTTCGCCGAGGATTTATTAAAGCTGTTACAATAACACACAGCAGGGTACACAACTCCCAGGGGCTAGGGGTCCTACTCTGAGTCCGGGTCCCTGCCGGCTAGCTCCGGTCTCTCTCTCTCGTGTCGGATCGGGGACTCTGCCGACTCCACCGACCGGAGAGATAAGCACCTCTATCGGCTACCACCGGCTTCTCCCCAGACTCACTACTCGATCCCTCTCTACCCCTGGTTCCCTCTTCACCCTTCTTACTCTACCCGTTCCCACAGTGACCCCGCTTACGTCACGGGGTATCCCTTAAGTACCCTAGGAGACGTGACGTCATCACACTGAACGGCACACCTGACGTCACGTCCCCATTTTACTCCTCTACAGTAGTATCCACTAACTATAGTAGTAACTACTAACTCGATAGCAGTATCTACTTACTCTATAGTTGGTATTACTGACTGCAGCAGTATATACTGACTGTAGTGGAATCTACTGACTGTAGTATTATCTACTGACTATAGTATCTACTGACCGTACGGTAGTATCTAATGACTAGAGTAGTATCTACCGACACTATAGCAGTAACTACTGACTGCAGAAGTATCTAATGACTTTAGTAGTACCTACTGAATCTATATTAGTATCTGCAGACTATAGGAGTACCTGCAGACTCTATAGTAGTATCTACTGACTATAGCAGTATCTACTGACTCTGTAGTAGCATCTACTGACTTGACAGTAGTATCTACCGACTTGACAGTAGTATCTACCGACTTTACAGTAGTATCTCCCGACTTTACAGTAGTATCTACCGACTCTACAGTAGTATCTACTGACTCAACAGTAGTATTTACCGACTTTACTGTCGTATCTCCCGACTTTACAGTAGTATCTACCGACTTTACAGTAGTATCTCCTGACTTTACAGTAGTATCTACCGACTCTACAGTAGTATCTACCGACTCTACAGTAGTATCTACCGACTCAACAGTATTTACCGACTTTACTGTCGTATCTCCCGACTTTACAGTAGTATCTACCGACTTTACAGTAGTATCTTCCGACTTTACAGTAGGATCTACCGATTCTACAGTAGTATCTACCGACTCTACAGTAGTATCTACCGACTCAACAGTAGTATTTACCGACTTTACAGTCGTATCTCCCGACTTGACAGTAGTATCTACCGACTTGACAGTAGTATCTACCGACTCTACAGTAGTATCTCCCGACTTTACAGTCGTATCTCCCGACTTTACAGTCGTATCTCCCAACTCTAAAGTAGCATCTCCCGACTCTGCAGTAGTATCTACCGACTCGACAGTAGTATCTACCGACTCTATAGTCGTATCTATCGACTTTATAGCAGTTAACTGCTACTTAACAGAGTGTCGTGGTGAGGCCTAGTCCCGTGCAGACCCCTCGGCCTCGCCTAGATTGCCCAGCCCGCCGAGGTAGCACCTTGGCAGGCTGGGGCTGGGCTGCTATAACCCCCCTCCCCCCCATCGCTCGCTCTACAGTAGCAGTAACTACAAACTTTACAGTCGTATCTACCTACTCTATAGTCATATATACCGACTCTATAATAGTATATATAAACTCTATAATAGTACTAACTTAACAGAGTGGTGTGGTGAGTCCTAGTAATGTGCAGAATCCCCGGCCTCGCCTAGATTGCTCAGCCGGCCGAGGTGGCACCTTGGCAGGCTGGGGCTGCGCTGCTACCCTCTCCCCGCCCGCTCTACAGTAGTAGCTACGGACTATAGTAGTAGTATCTACCGACTATATAGTAGTAAGTGCACACATTGGGGCGGGGGGGGAGAAGAGGACATCACACTTTGAAGAATTTACCTCAGCGTTGTGTGTACTTTTTTCTGCATTGTTGACGCGAATGAGAATTACCCCCACCGATCGCGTGTGTGCATTGCTAGGGGCAACCACGGTTCAACTTTCTTGAGCATGCGCAGATGCGTGCTTTGGCACGCGCTCAGCATAGTAATATAATAATTAATAGTAATAAATTGTTAAATTAACTACTTGAAAGTTGACCGGCGTGAAATATGAATAGCGCTGGCTCACCACGGGGCTGATCACGTGGTATCTGGGCAAGTTTCGTCCACAGACAGACAAAAAAATTACTTTTAATTCGATACAAAATCTACACATTACACAACACAACAATCATTAGCTTTGTTTGCTTGCGTTGAATGGAGGCACTCCCAGAAGGCCATGTGTCCGTATACTTCACGGCCAGAAGTCATGGTAGCCAGTGGTCAAGAATAGCGATGGAGTGAGAGCCAAAGCAGGGAATGCCTCCAAGAAAATTACGTCCCACCGCGGAGATGGAACGGTGATGGAATGATTCAATCTTCTCGTGCGGAGGGGGTAGATGGATAGTGTTGCATCGTGAAATTGGGAGAGCATAGAAAATAGCAATGGTGCGGGGGAGCTCGGTGGGGTTGGGGCGTCATTCAGCAGTGAATAGATTTTGGCCGATAATTTGAATTTTCAACAGGAATTGTCTGGAGTTCCTGTGGTTCCCCGAATACCACATTTCTCTGGACAACATCCGCACCATGAGCGTGGAAGAACTCAACGCTTTTCCACTGGTAAGAGGCGTTTCTGTGTAAGTCTCAATGTCTGCATCTCTGCTTGTTTCTGTGTGTATGTAAATCTGTGTCTATATGTGTCTCTAAGTGAGTATGTGTGTCTGTGAGTTTGTATCTATGTGAGTCTATCTCTCTGTAAATCTCTATCTCTGTGCGAGTCTGTGTGTCTTTATAAATGTATAGCTCTGTACGAATCTGTGCGGTGGTGATGGTGGTCATGACAATGGTGGTAGCGATGGTGGTGACCGTTGCTGCCTACAGTGCTAGAGGCAAGCGAGGCTGCACTGGCTGGGTCATGTAGCCTATATATGCCCAGCCACCGCATGCCCAAGCATTTCCTGTTTGGCCGGATAGATGGGGCTAAACGGGCAAGGCATGGGCTAGAGAAGATATGGACGTATGTGATCCAGAAGGATGTGGAGTTGATTGGACGTGCCGATGGCTGGTACCAGCAGTGTCCAGATCGGCGTCTGTGCGGTTCGTGAAGGATGCTGATGGGGAGTTGGAAGCCGTCATCCTCCAGCAATAACAAAGGGCAGAGGAGCGATGCTCAAAAGGAGCAGAGCGCCGGGCTGCTAAAACACAGAAAATTGATAGTGCATCTGTTAGTCAACTCATGACACCTGAGTGTTTCATGACCTTCTGCCAGCGGGCCTCAAGATGCAGATAACATGGCACATGCACTATGGTGACGTTACTGCCATTTAGTGGTGAACGGCGGTTGTTGTCGGTGGTTGTTGTGATGGTGTTGGAGATGGTGGTGGTCGTGATGATGATGGTGTTGGTGGTGATAATGGTAGTGGTGATGGTATCTATGGGACCCCTTTTTTCCATTATCAAGATATTACAAGATAGACAAGGCGAGCAGTACAAGGAAATTGCAAGTACCAAAGTATTCATAGCTCGGGTTAAACATTTGTCATAGTGGTGATGCAAGTCCATGGGTCTTACCATTTTTAAATCCTTTATATTAAGTTCGCATGCTTGCTTGCTTGCGTGCTTGCTTGCTTAGGACCGTGCAAATCTTTCAGTCGTTTTTTAACCCACTTCCCGTGATCCAATCGAGCTGACATTTTCCACACAGACTCGTTGTGCCAGACAATTATTGTTCGTGAAAAAAAAATTCCCAAAATTGTACACTTCTTAGGCAAAAAAAAATTATTTTACATATATTCAAATATAACTCATCGCTTTGGCTGAACGTCACAGTATAAGAGCCCAGAGCGTAACCCCTCCACAGGCCGTGGCGGAGTAGCGCAGTTGGTAGCGCCCTCGCTTCCCATGCCAAAAGTCGTGGGATCGATCCCCGCGTCCTCCACAGGCGAATATATTTTAAATCCTTTATATTAAGTTCGCTGCCACGCATATAAAGGATTTATAGTGAAAAACTTTGTTTTTACGGGTTATACTTATTCAGGCTGGTGTTGCGTACACCTTGTGCCACACAGAGACAACTGCTGCTGGGATTATGGGTGGTGGGGGGGACAGTAGGTTCTCCCAGGCTAATCTGCAGCAGCGCATTTAAATGCTCGAGATGACCTATGAGTGATATAAGGTGATTATTGCCTCATCTATCAATAAAGAGCCTTTACATCCTTCTTTCCCTCTTGTTTGTGCCCACATCTCCTTTGGTGCTCTGTGTTGCTTGGCTTGCGACAGGTGCAGCTGTTGCAGATGTACCAGCAGAGGATGTTTCAAATTATGGAGCAGGTGGTGGTGCAGAACCAGCAGCACCTTGAGGAGCAGCTATGCTGCTTCCGCGAGAAAGTGCGAGTGCTTAGAAGCGTCATGGTGAAGGTGCGTGTACATGGTGGAAGTGTTTACCCAGTCTACCGTGGGCTCGCCTCCCTATCAACGCGAGACAAGGAATGGTGGTGGTGGCTTATGCCCCCACTGAAGATAAACATCAGTGGAGGGATGCAGGCAAGGCCAAGGATTTGGGTATTCTTGGCCACGGTCACGCCCTCTTTCTCTATGCTTGCGAAACCTGGTTCCCCCTAATGGAACATCTGCGCCGGTTAGAAACATTCAGGCTAGCCTGCCTACGATCCATCCTGGAACTAGGTTATATTCTGTGAGGAGCTCACAAATCTTTGGAAGATGTGGACACATTGCCATAGGTGAGCTCCTCCAGCAGGCAAGGCTGCATTGGCTGGGGCACGTAACCCGCATGCCAAGCCACTGCATACCCAAACAGCTTTTATTTGGCCAGATATAGGGGGCTAAATGGGCGCGGTACAGGCTAGAGAAGAGATGGACTGATGTGGTACAAGAGGATATGGGGCTGAGTGGATTTTATGATGACTGGTTCCAGCGGTGTCAAGATCAGCCTCTGTGGATGATACTCATAAAGAACGCTACTGGGCAGTTGGAGGCAGTCACCCTCCAGCAACAACGGAGGGCAGAGGAGCAACACTTGCAACAACGAGCTTAGTGCCGAGTAGCTAAAACACAGCGATTTAGCACAGTAGGGGGCACAGGTGGTGCATCCGCCAGTCATTTCAGTAAACCCGTGGCACCTGGGTCTGTCCCTTGACCTGCCAGCGGGCCTTTGACACTTCATGTGGCCGTAAAGTGCACCTACAACAACTGCCATTCACCACTTAGTGGTGAATGGCAGTTGTTATCTACGTGACTTTACCGAAAGACCCAAAGAATATGGTGAATGGCAGTTGTTGATTTTTACTTGTCGTGATTGCTCACCCAGAACAGCTTTGCGGAGTCTCATTTAGCAGACGGGTCCTGCTGAGTGTTTAGCAGTTTGGGGGGGTGGTGGGTGAGCGATCATTGCAGGTGCTGCGCTTAATTTCAATCCAATAATTGCCGTGGTGTATCCTTGTGTTGTTTTGACTTTTGCGACGTTGGCGCAGCGGCTTAACTTTTACCGAGTGCCGTCACGGCATCTTTCACGACCACTGCGAACTAAACAGACGGCGCGGTGGTAGCGTTAATACGCACCGCCATGGTATTAACCGGGGCGGCCTGTGGGATTTGAGCTGCGAATCTCTACCGTCGTACACCCTCCTCCTCTCCCTCTCACGCAGGACGAAAATCCCGTCGACAACACGGACGCCGGCACGGACGCCTTCTTCGCGCGACTGGTCGCAACCTATGCGCAGACGGCAGAATCCAAGCGGTCGAGCGATGACGCAGGGGGGAAGGATGACACGGGAGGGGGGGGGGAGGCCCACGCCCAGGAGGGCCCCCACACCGTGCTTTTCGCTGACTATGAGGAGGAGGGGCAGGAGAACGATGCTGCGTCCCCGCTCAGCCTGGGCCCACAGGACAGGCCCACGGTGGATGTGCAGACCCTGCAGGACGTGACGATGGATGTGCCGGTGGCGGAGTAGAAGGTCGTGGAGGTTCTGTTAGAGGAGATAGACCCCCTTCCCCTGCATAATTAGCCCTCCCACCCCCTCATACGATTAACATTTGTGCACTAGTAGCATCTAAATGCAAGCGGGTCTCCAAACACTTCAGAGGGGGGAAAGATTGTGTATATGCATAGCAAAATATAAATATACTCTTTGGTTTTTTCGGTAAAGTCACATAGTTAAAAATAAAAGAAAAAACAACTGAATTAAATCACGACGTTTCGGAGGCAACACATGCTTCCGTCTTCAGGTGGAACCGTCACAGCAAAATTACTTGATACAGTTATTTTTCTGTGACGGTTAAAAAGTGCCCGCGAGCACAAGTCAGATCTGAAACACAGCAGAACTGATTCTTCGGCCGTTGCCGATCATTGCTACAACTCGGTGGGCTCTCATGAAATTGTATTTTCTGAGACCAAGGTTCTCTGCAAACCTCCTGGCTACCATCAAAGGTTTGTACACGAAGCCATACAAATATACAAACACAGACATAATTTCAACCGTGATGACGGTTACAAACTGAGTAATCATTGGAAAGATGTGATTAACCATGCAAAAAAGATTTAACTACACTTATTTGCCAATCTTATTTGACAGACAACCATCACAGTTTTACCATGTCTAGTGGTGGTCTCCCTGTTACAGGTTGAGTCACAAACCGCACCTCTCCATAACAAAGGCTCAGCCTTTGTTATGCAGTCTATTCTTAGTCTTAAGCCTCACCTTACCATATTAATAAAAGTATGCGGCCCTTGCCCCACCACCTTCTCCAACCATTATATAAACGGAGTGGTAGCTTCTGCAATCTCTCATTTACTTGATACAGCTGTCGTGGCTGTGACGGTACCACCTGAAGACGGAAGCTTGTGTTGCCTCCGAAACGTCGTGATTTTTATATTATTTTACTTTTTAATGTTTTTTACCTACGTAACTTTACCGAAAAAACCTAAGAATATGAATCATTACAGTCACGAAAGCTTCAAATCGAGAATTAATTTTATTATTTTATTTTTAACTACGTGACTTTACCAAAAAACCCAAAACGTATGAATCCTTGCAGTCACGAAAACTTTAAATCTATATAAATATATATTACGATATATATGTACAGGAAAACTAATGGGGAGTTAAATCTTGACTTCAACCAGGGCAGGAATGGAGTTTATACTGGTTTGGAGTTGCAGAGACGTAGATAATTCCCAGGCTTGCACACATGCGTAGGGAGTGGTAAGTGTTAAGGTTAGCGCGCTGCACTTTGATCTCGGCATGTTCACAATGCATGGCTCACAGTGGAAGTGAAACATTTAGGCTGTAATCCGCCTGTACACTCGGCATGCTCACAATGTGTGGGAACTACAATTTATAATCTGGCTGTACTATAATGGGATAACTTGAGGTGATATGTTTAACATATAAAACATACTGGACATTAATGAACCAAAGCTAAGGGGAATTGTGAGGGTGGGATGAGTTATTACATGGCTACTTAATGCCACCCATCCACTCACCGCATCAACCATTCACTCGTCCACTCACCTGCTCACTCACCAGCCCACTCACCCGCTCAACCATTCACCCACACACCCGCTCACTCACCAGCTCAACCACTCACCCACCCACCCCACTCAGTCACCCGCTCAACCATTCACCCACCCAACCACTCACCCACTCAGCTGCTCACCCATGCACCCGCTCACCCGCTCACCCATGCACCCACTCAACCGCTTACTCACCCACTTATCCACTCATCCATTCATTCACTCACTCGCCCCATTCATTCACTCGCCCAATCACCCACTCACCCATCCAGCAATTCACTTACCCACTTATCTGTTGGCCTATCATGGCACACAGTGTGAGTGCAAGTGGTCAGCATTATGCCTGGAGGCTGTTATATCTTCAAAATCAATGTTAACCCATGAATCCACCTGTATATAATCTGTCTGGCTCCTGAAGACATTTATTTAAACAAAATTCAGGGAACACTAGCAAAGCGTGTTAATATAACTCTTGATTTTTGCGTATACATTTTGAGAAATGGACAAATTAATGTTCAATCGCAACTTAGAGGTGTGACTCCAGGCTCAGATTTCTCTTTAGCTGTTTTCGTATTCTGCCTTCATGCTTGTAAAAAGTTCCATAGGAAAAAAAATATAGTTTTATTTAAATCTACAAGTTTAATTGGGTTAATATGTATGTTGAACGTCTTTTGCATTTCTTTCGCACCGCACCGTGTGTGGCTAATTGAAGGATGCCGGGAATCAGTAAAACTTTACACTCACAGGCACAGTGAACAAGGTGGTGGTGTGGTCAACCATGCCTGGCCACCTTCATCTGCTCAACTGAGTAGCAATAAACCCGATGAAGGTCCACAATAAGTTCAGCTATCACTTTTCAATAATATTTGCCATCAGCAACAAACTGTCGGGTTCATAAGGGAGTGCATCAACAAGTGCACCACCGCACCCCACACATACACTTCCGTATGTATACATTTCACGCGGGTCGGTAACAATATAAATACAATGGCAATCATTCGCTTCTCATTGGATGTGATGCCGTTTTGACGTAAAACTTTTGTGACTGAAGGAATTAATATTCTTGGTTATTTCGGTAAAGTCAACGTAGATAGAAAATAAAAGAAATACAAATAATAAAGTTAAATAAATAATAAATTTCAAATTATACAAGCAAAAAACCCACGACGTTTCGATCGCAACACAAGTGGTCTTCATCAGGCGGAGAGAAAAGAGGGGGCAAGCCTCCAAATGCAACTCCTTATAAGGGCTTTCAAATTGAGCAAAGCTGTGCGGCGTAAATAGCATAGGTGGGGCAGCCAGCGCACATGTAAGAGCAAAGCACCAGAAGTACAAGTAAAGCGAGTGCGTTAGACAATGGGGGAGGGAGAGTATGGGGGGTAGAGCTGAAAGGCGAGGGCGCAGTCCAAGTGTTAAACAATGGAGGGAGGAAGAGGGTAGAGATGGGGGGGAGAGAAGGGAATAGAGGTGGGGAGGGGGCATTGCACCTCGCTACACCCATCCACACTGCTGACGGTAGAGGTTGACAAGAAAACAAATCAAGTCATGACCCAAAGTGGTTGATGACATCTTTCCAATGATTGTTGAGTTTAAAACCGTCGTCTCGGTTTAAATTGTGTCTGTATATATGGATGGCTTCGTGAAGTACCATCGTCCTAGATAAATCGATTTCGTGTGAGCCAGCCGCATTAAAGTAATGATCAGCCACGGCAGAAGTATTGGTCCTGCCGTGTTTCATATATGCCTTATGTTCACGAACACATGTTGTTTAGTTTCCCCAATGTAACTGCGGCCGCAGATACAGCTTAGTTTATAGACGCCGGGATATTGCATGTCAGGAATCTTGTCCTTCACAGATGGGATCAGATCACGAATTTTATGCACTGTGTTAACTCGGACCTGGATCTTATGTTGTGTTTGTTCAAGATTTTGGAAATCTTTTTGGTTATCCCTACTATATAAGGCAAGGTGATGGTTAAGATTGGATCTTCAGATGGCTCCTTCCTCACAGATTGAGTAGTCAGAATATCCATATGCCTTGAGAGCCTGGTGTATGTGTTGAGTTCACTGGTCATGTGTTCATGGTCGGAGATACATTGAGCTCTATGGTCTAGCGTTTTGATGAGGGAATTCTTCTGTGATGGATGGTGGTGGGAATCAAGTTTTGGTAGGCATCAGTCATGGTTACTTTCCTGATGTGGCGCTTTCGTGACTGCAGGAATTACTCTTTGGTTCTTTTGGTAAACAGAGTGGCTCAATTAGCTATCTGGTCTCTTTTTGATTAAGACATCCAAGAAAGGTAGCATTCCATCCTTTTCTACCTCCATGGTGAATTTGATTGCTGAGTGTATGGAATTGATGTGGTTGAGGAATTGTTTCAGAGCCGGTCGGCCATGTGGCCAGATGACAAACGTGTCATCTACGTATCTCTTCTATCTACGTGACTTTACTGAAAGAACCAAGAATATGTGATGTCATTGCAGCCCCCCCCCCCCCCACCAGAGTTCCACCCCTCCCCCTGTTTCGTGCTGTTTGTTGTGGGAAAGGGGAGGCGATACCCGGGAGGCCCCACCCCGGGAGGGTAGGGCAAGGCTGAGTGAGTGACAGGAGGGCCACGAGAGACGGCCATCGGCGCGGCACGACTGCGTGGTCGCCTTAAATGTAGTGTTAAGAGGATGGAACTCGAGGCAGCTGCCTCCATCCACCTCCAGCACGTTCTGCTGGTGCAGCATGCGAGTGGGTTGGTTAAAGTGTGGGTTGGTTAAAATGGTTAAGTGTTTTATTAAAGTTTTATTTGCAAGAGCCGATGGTTCGTTTTGGTCAACTGCGCTGAGGAGTGGCTGTGTGCTGGGAGCTCGGGTGGGCTGGACTGCTTCACGAGGGGTTGGAGAGAGGTCATTTCGGACCCACCCCTCATAATTTGGATAAATTATACAGGAAGGAACAACAGTTCTAGATTTGAAGCTTTCGTGACTGAAAGAATTCATACTCTTAGGTTCTTTCGGTAAAGTCACGTAGGTAAAAAAATGATATTAAAATAAATGAAAATAACTAAATTAAATCACGACGTTTCGGAAGCAACAAGCTTCCGTCAGGTGTAACTTCTCCAGTAAAATTAATGTAGCGTATGAAGAAAGCTATTCAAGACACGTGTTTTTTATATAGGGTGCTGGGCAGGGAGGAGCCAATGAGTCGGGGGGGGGGGGATAACCATCTCGGTGCTTTTACACTGCTAGTACGGTGCTTGTACACTGCAAGTACGGTGCTTGTACAATGCATGTACGGTGCTTGTACAATACATATACGGTGCATTGGACGCTGAATGGCGAATGGGAATGAAACACTGTTGTAAATCAGACTTTTTTCTCCTTAGTGTGGGTGGTGTATAAGGCTGGATATGACTGTAAAATTATAATAATAAATATGGATATGATTATGGGAGTAAATATAAACTGGCTGAATCTTAATTTTGTAAACAATGTCCCAATGAGCCATCAGGTCTCCTCTCAAACAGAGCATCCAAGAATGGTAGTTTGCCATCTTTCTACACTTCCA